AGCTCAGTGGCTGTACAGTAACATTCTATACATGATGTCAGAGCTCAGTGGCTGTACAGTAACATTCTATACATGATGTCAGAGGTCAGTGGCTGTACAGTAACACTCTATACATGATGTCAGAGCTCAGTGGCTGTACAGTAACATTCTATACATGATGTCAGAGATCAGTGGCTGTACAGTAACATTCTATACATGATGTCAGAGCTCAGTGGCTGTACATTAACATTCTATACATGATGTCATTCATACAAGCAAACCACACACCTGTGTTTTCAAATGTCCACTTCACATTTCTATATATAAAACTCATGTCATTTACAGTATCAATGTTTATGAAGGATATGTTTGATGTACAGTTACAAGGATGATATGGCGTCATACCCTGGGTTGTTCTGAACAGAATGAGCCTGTTTGTCGCACCAAAATTGCCATCTGTTTCTCTGAAGTGAGTGGTGAAAGCTTAACACGGTATGGTCGTATTTCATAACTTAGCTAGTCATGTTGGCCATAAAATAGGCTTTCAAATGATGCCCACCTGACCCAGATTGCGATTTAAAATGGGTCGTTTTTGGATTGAGTAAACAACAGTAATTGTGGGATGGTGAAGATGCATGGCTGCGTTCCAAACAGAAAACTACAAGCACTTGCTTCAGTTCCTCAACAGCAAAGCTAGGGAAGCTCAGAAAAGCACATTAAAAAGTTGAAGGCTCTTTCCTTGAGTCAAAGTGCAATGAGATTACTTTCACTGTGCACACATTGAAGAGGTGTGTGGCCACTTGGAGACACCAGTTAGTCCTCTCACTCAAACCCTTGTATTTTGTTTTTGTCTTAGTTGCACCTACCCTGGCCCTCGATCACGACTCTCAGTTCCATTACACATAAGAGTCATTGGAAGAAGGCAGTTTTGTTAATAGCGCCGATGCTTGGTCTGAACATTAACACCCATCGCTTGGGGTAAGGGTTTTGGAAGCATAAGGACCTTATCTTTCATATGAGCAAGAAATAATAACAATAATAATATATATTTTTCTTTTTAAAGGTTAAATTGATGCACACCTTTATAGGGTTAGTGTTCCCACACGGCCATATCTCCACGTTACAGCAGGTAACCCGAAAACAGACGGAAGACAGCGTGGACTACATGCACTAATTAGTTATCTGCATCTCCGAACACCCGTGTGTGTCAACGGAAGACGGACGCCACAAACGTAACCGGTTAAAACAGTGTACAGTAAGTGTGTATTTTGCATTTGTGAAATTATTGTGACGTGATATGAAAGTCGAGAGACATGTGTTTCTAGAACCGTGCAGCAATTGAGAATCGATTCACATTTATAAAGGAGTATTTGGCAGTTTTGGCTTCCAGAGCCAATTCACCCTTTAAAAACAGAACATGTAAGGTCCTTGGACTACTGAGTAACATTAGACTCCTTTAGTCCAATATTGGGCTACACCTACCCCAAATTGACCATGAATATTCTAGATATGTTACTGAATGTATCCAGAGTATTTTTGGGTGTTAAAGAGAGGCCCATATATGTATATATTTATATAAATAACATATAGATTTACATAAATAACATCTCCTTTATTCTGTGTAGCTACGTTCTAATCATAGATTATAATATCTAAAAGGTTATGTGTCTGGAGGGAACCATTATAGGGGAATGCATCTCGTGACGTAATTTCATAATAAAATCGTCTCCAGAACATTACTGTATCATAAATGTGTATAAAAAACGTTGAGAAGCTTTGCTTTAATAAGACACAAATAAACCTTCCACTATTCTATACAGACGCGTCCAGCAGTCACATGAGTTTGCCGCACCTATTCATTGAGTTGGTGCTGCCTAATGAATTTACAGCTAGCTAACGATAGCATGCTAACTCACCAGAGGTAGAACGCCAAGTCCAACGTTTCCACGGGATGACAGTTACTTTCGTTGACGTTCAGATTGAAATTTTAGTTGCTCTTAGGTCAGTTTGTCGATGTACTTTGTAGATCGAGAGTATAAAGTATGCCCAGCGCAGAATGTTTGGTGAAGAATCGCTGGAGTATGCCGGAAGCGAGGTGACTTCCTCTTTCCCATGGCCGCTTCTTCTTCTGTGGATTTTAAATGGTGGTAGGCAACCAACTTTAAGGTGCATTACCGCCACCAACTGGACTGGAGTGTGGACCAGAGACAGTGAAGGTCTAAATCCTACCCAATAATCTCGTCTCCCTAAGGAAACGAAATACATAATTAAATACTACATCCCCTTAAGATTTCCCCATCAGTTCACTTAATCCTGGCTCTTCAACCCCATTACTCCTCAAATCTAAAAACAATCGCTCCCTTTCCCTCACATATTTCTGGCACTGAAATAGAACATGTTCCACTGTCTCCATCTCCTCCTGACAATGATCACACCTCCCAGTCAGATGTTTCCCCGCCACTTTCAATTTACTATTTAGCCTTGTGTGTCCCAGTCTATGGCCACTTCTTCTAGGTTTCCACTAGTTAACAAAGTCAAAATTAGCTATATCTAAAACAATTCATGAAAACAAACATTTGCTTTTTGGTATTAATTTAGGGTTAGGCATAACGTTAGCAGCATGGTTAGGGTGAAGGTTAGAGTTAGGTTTCAAATCAGATTTTAAGAAGAGAATTGTAGAAATAGGCGGGGTTTATGATTTTAAGGCTGTGGTAACGGGCCATGCTATCTGGGATCATCGGGACGTCCCTATCACACTACCACATTGAAGTTGACATTTAAAATGGTAGTGGTTTAGGGTCGGGACATTCCAAGGATCCCAGATAGCACTAACCCTGTGGTAACTAGTGACAACCTTTCTCCTGCAGATCTGGTTGAAAATGCATAACAATACATCCGCCACGCCGATCCTCAACACGGGGGCCCCTCAGGGGTGCATGCTCAGTCCCCTCCTGTACTCCCTGTTCACTCATGACTGCATGGCCAGGCGCGACTCCAACACAATCATTAAGTTTGCCGATGACACAACAGTGGTAGGCCTGATCACCGACAATGACGAGACAGCCTATAGGGAGGAGGTCAGAGACCTGGCCGTGTGGTGCCAGGATAACAACCTCTCCCTCAACGTGATCAAGAAAAAGGAGATGATTGTGGACCACAGGAAAAAGAAGACGACCGAGCATGCCCCCATTCTCATCGACGGGGCTGTAGTGGAGCAGGTTGAGAGCTTCAAGTTCCTTGGTGTCCACATCACCAACAAACTAACATGGTCCAAGCACACCAAGACAGTCATGAAGAGGGCACGACAAAACCTATTCCCCCTAAGAAGACTGAAAAGATTTGGCATGGGTCCTCAAAAGGTTCTACAGCTGCACCATTGAGAGCATCCTGACTGGTTACATCACTGCCTGGTATGGCAACTGCTCGGCCTCCGACCGCAAGGCACTACAGAGGGTAGTGCGTACGGCCCAGTACATCACTGGGGCCAAGCTTCCTGCCATCCAGGACCTCTATACCAGGCGGTGTCAGAGGAAGGCCCTAAAAATTGTCAAAGACTCCAGCCACCCTAGTCATAGACTGTTCTCTCTGCTACCACACGGCAAGCGGTACCGGAGCGCCAAGTCTAGGTCCAAGAGGCTTCTAAACAGCTTCTACCCCCAAGCCATAAGACTCTTGAACATCTAATCAAATGGCTACCTAGACTTTTTGCACTGCCCCCCCCCCCCCACCCCCCCCCCCCCCCCCCCCCCCCCCCCCCCCCCTTACGCTGCTGCTACTCTCTGTTTATTATCTATGCATAGTCACTTTAATAACTCTACCTACATGTACATATTACCTCAATTACCTCGACTAACCGGTGCCCCCGCACATTGACTCTGTACCGGTACCCCCTGTATATAGCCTCACTACTGTTATTTCACATTGACTCGGTACCGGTACCCCCTATATATAGCCTCACTACTGTTATTTTTACTGCTGCTCTTTAATTATTTGTTACTTTTATTTTGTATTATTTTATATAGTATTTTTTTGTGTGATTTTTTTTTGGTATTCTTTCTGAAAACTGTATTGTTGGTTAAGGGCTTGTAAGTAAGCAATAAACTGTAAGGTCTACACCGGTTGTTATTCGGCACATGTGACAAAAACAATTTGATTTGATTTGACTACGTCATCTACCGTGGGTGCCCCACAAACACATCTACACACACACTCATCATCATCATCATTCAACCTGATAACAAATGTTATTTTCAACAGATGACCGTTTGTGGATCAACTTTTATGAGTCACGAAAGAAATTGACAACACATTGGAATGAGGAGAATGGCAGTTCTGTTGCTAGAGAGGATTAGGACTAAACATTTATACAGTTTATAAGTAATAAACATTTAGGGTTAGGTTTTGTAATAAACATTTATATACACTACCGGTCAAAAGTTTGACAGCGTGCAAAGCTGTCATCAATGCAAAGGGTGGCTATTTGAAGAATCTCAAATATAAAATATATTTTGATTTGTTTAACACTTTTTTGGTTACTACATGATTCAATGTGTTATTTCATCGTTTTGATGTCTTCACTATTATTCTACAATGTAGAAAATAGTAAAAAATAAAGAATAACCCTTGAATGAATAGGTGTTCTAAAACTTTTGACCAGTAGTGTAGTTTGTGAGTTTAATAAACTAATGAAATGTATTAGTAAAAAAAGACATTGAATACACTGTGCAATGAGGATAATGGCGTATCTGTAGCTGGACACTGAAGAGGGCGTCTCCCTCTGTGTACCAACACTCTGATTATACACATGTTCAATAGCACTACTTCAAAACAACACATTTCAACAGCTCATTTCACGTTTAGGCAAAAAGGGTTTTCTACTAACTCAGATCTGATTCCAGATCTATTGAAGACTGCCCTCACAGATCACTGTCAAATCACAAAAGCTCCAGCACAGAGATCGGTGTCCTGATTGGTCAATTAGTAACTCAACCGTTCCATCAATCAATAAATCAATAAAATAATCAATATAGCCAACGAATGAGCTGGAGGAGCAGCACGGCCACCGCGGCACTCCCAGCAGCCTGACAGGAAGCTCCTGTGGAGGGAAACAGACGTTGAACAACACCTTAAAAAGCAGTTTCTTTCTCTCTCTGTTTCTCTCTCTCTCACACACACACACACACACACACACACACACACACACACACACACACACACCCACACACACACACACACACACACACACACACACACACCTCTAGCAGCAGGGCCAGGTAGGACCTCCACCTCCACTGTGTGATTGGCTTTTCCGATACGGTTCAAAGCAATGAGGGTGTAATTCCCAGCATCCTCTCTTCTCAGGTGTGTGGGTGGGGTCAGCACCTGTCCGTCTCTCAGCCATGTGACCGATGGGAGGGGATTGCCTCTGACATCACAAGTTAGCCCCTCCCCCTCTCCCACCTGCTGCTTGGCAGAACAGGAGAACTCAGGAGCGACTGGGGGGGGGGGGGGGGGGGGGGGGGGGGGGGGGGGGTGAGAGAAAGGATATGAAATCTCAGTGAAACAACCATCATATTTTCATCATCATCATGACCTCATAATTACATCCCCATCTTTACAACCATCATAACCACAATACTGATCTGTACAGATAGACATGACCAATCAAGTCACAAAAATCACCAGATGGACTCACAGTGCACAGTGGTGTTGAGGCATTCTGATTCCATTACAGGAGGAGGTTGGGGTCCCTCTGGTCCCAGATCCAACATGGCTGAACAACACAACTGGGCCCCACCATCAACACTAGTGGGGGAGAACTGCAGGGAAAAGCTCTCATTCACTGGTTCCCTAATGTCATTGTTTAGTTGTTGTGTGTATAACACTGTCTGTTCACCACTGGTAGAGACTTTGTAGAAGGTCACAGTGAGGTGCTTAATAGGAGCGATGTTCTGGACAACACAATGCAGAGAGTACTGATGCCCCTCAACCATCGGATCAGAGTGGCTTAAATATCTGATGTATACTCTATCTGGAAGCTCTGTGGAGGAATGGAAACACACACCATTGAAATGAACAGAGTGGGTCTGCACAGACTAAAGATACTGGGAGACACAAGAGAGTCAGAGAGCAAACGTAAGAGGGAAGTTACTCACTGTACATAGTAACGTCCAGCGCTCTGGCACACTGGCCTCCCACCTCAGAGATCTCATAGCACTGAGGCTTTATTTTCCAGTCAGTCAGGCTGTCTACTCGCCAAGTCCGCTCTTTCACCCCCATGCTGAAGTCTTTTCCCTGGCTCGCCTCCCAGCCCATAGAGGTGACCGTATCTGAGGTGCAGTTGGCCGAAGCAGGGGCTCCATACTTCACCACCAACCCAGCAGGACTGACCACCAGGGAACAGGACTCACACACTCCTGGAGAGAGAGACGGACAGGGGGGAGGATAAATATATATGTATGTGAGGGGAGAGCCTGGAAGTGTCAGGAAATCAACGTCTTAACAATTAGGCCAATAGGAAACTCTGTCTTGGTCCGAGGGTGACACTGATTTTGAAGTCAGGGCTGCCTCATCAAAACAGCATAAGTCTGACTCACCTCCGGTACAGAAGCACAACTACACACTTTTAGAGAGAGAGCGAGAGAGAGGGAGAAGGTGGAGAGGTGGGGAGGAGGGTGCTGGTGAGACAGGAGGAAATGGAAGTGACCTCATCTTTGTCATTGACAGAGAATGCTGACGACGCCAACATCCAAACACAGCAACAGCGCACGTACACACACACACACACACACACACACACACACACTTACTTTTCAAAAATAAGGAGAGGAAAGGAGTTCCCGACAGGAAGGAAGGAGTCCCTGACCTAGCCAATCACCTCTCTGTGACCGTTTTTCAGCCAATCTCCTCCCTCCTCTCTATGAACATTGTTCAGTGGAACTAGGTGGTCCTCCTGGATATTATGATCTCATTTACCTTCACTGACATAGACGATACATGTACAGTCATGATAGTGCTGTGTGTGTGTGTGTATGTGTGTGTGTGTGTGTGTGTGTGTTTGTTCAACCGCCCGTCTCTATGGCTCTATCTGTCTCAACCTCAATCTTAGTGTAATCTAATCCTAACATACGTGACATTAGAAATCTGAAATCAAGTTTCAGTTTATTTGCCACGTGCAAAGGATACAACAGCTGTAAAACAGAACAGTGAAAGTCTTACCTTGAGAGCTCCTTCCCATCAATGCAGTGATAATAATACTAATAATACAGCTAATAATAGAAAATATAAATTAAAAAAATACAAGAGGTACAATATACGTTCTTTTTTTAAACAATTGTTTCCTGGTGATCTAATTGTCACCGTTCTAAATACTAAATCTATTTTATGATCTACCTCTGTATCACACCTCTCTCCCTCGCATTCATTTTCTCTCCCTCTCTCACTCACTCACACACACACACACACACACACACACACACACACACACACACACACACACACACACACACACACACACACACACACACACACACACACTCACCTGGCTTCAGAAGGGGGAGGAGGAGGAGGAGAAGAAGAGTGTGTGTGTACATGCTGCGTCTGTCACTTCACTGAGAGATCAGTAGCTGCACATGCTCTCCTCAGAGTTCTCTTAGTAACTGAGACGGAGATCACCTCCGCTGTGTGTGTGTGTGCGTGTTCAGCTCATTGTCCCTTTTCTTTAGTCTTTGGGTTTGTCCTCTGACCACCCTGGGTGTTCCTACTGTTCTGACTAAGTGTACGTTCCAAACGGCACCCTATTCCCTAAAAAGTGCACTACTTAGGGAGTAGGGTACCATTTAGGACGCAACCTGTGAGAGGAAGGAAGGGAGGAGAGAGTGCTAGTCTTTAGGGCTAGTCTCTCTAAACACAATGTGGAGTATGTGAGCAGTACACACACCATTTACAGGACACACACACACACACACTAAAGTAACAGATACTATGTCTGCTAATGAGTTGAATAGTAGGCGATTCCAAAATAATAGGAGAAGGTGACACACATAAAACACATTGCTGATCAGAAATGCAGAAATACATGTTTGATAACCAGTATACGATAGCATTTCCAATCGTTTATTTCGCTTTCCTAATCCATTTACAAGGTTTAAAGGACAGGACTCTTATTTTGAAGGATTTCCCCCAAATTACGTGACCCGGAAGTTATTGCTAGCTGGCGTCAAATAGTTCTCCATCGATATTCTCATCCAAACAAACAATTGAAGAACAATTATTTCAGGTAGCTAGGAAGTTCTTTTAAATGTTTTTACATTTTTATTTCGAACTTTAATGAGTCGTTTAACTAACGCATGTTTCAGCCAATCTCTTGAGTCTTTTACAGCTCATGTTGTTATCCTAGCTTGCAAGCTAGCTAACATCAACGTTACACTAGCCATTGTCATGGGTTGGAAAGTGACGGCCGCTAAATAGGTAGGTAGCTTTCTAGCTAGCTAACACTTTGTTTTGTCCATAATGTAGTATTTAGCTATTGTTGGTGGCTACGAAAAATTACGAAAATGTATACACTCATAAATCGCTCTGGATAAGAGCGTCTGCTAAATGACTGAAATGTAAATGGCTATGTTTACTACCACGTCAGTGTACACACGTTTGCATTGTATCCCTTTCCAAATTTGGTATAACCTCTTTCTGTTTGTGAAAATCACCTTTATACCGCCTCTGGTTCTACTGACTCACCTCTAGCCCACCATGTCTGAACCGAGTTCTGGCTGTGGCGTTCCCGTCCAGAGAAGCTCACAGCCTGGTCCAGAGACTGTGTCAGTGAAGCTGGAGGACTGCTGTCAGACACTGGAACTCAGTGGGATTGTCAAAAAGGAGGAGGACAAGGGAGAAGTTAAAGAAGAAAAGGAGAAGAGAGAAATCAAAGAAGAAGAAGAGGGGGAGAAGAGAGAGGTCCAAGTAGAAGAGGGGGAGAAGAGAGAGGTCCAAGTAGAAGAGGAGAGAAATGCTGATCCAGGTAGGTTGTAATGGAGAGACGTCAATGTCAAAACAATCAAGTTGACCTAAAATCAAACATTTCCCAAGTAATTCCATACATTGAATCTAGTTAGGTGGCGTTTGCCTTGTCTCCCTGCAGTCTAGAACTGGAACGCTGCTAAAAGGGTCACATGACTCATGAAGTGTATGTGCACTGTTAGCTCTGCTCCTTTGTCAGTCAAAGAGCGATTGAGAAATCTGTCAATTGCAGACAAATTCTTTGTTTTCTTGAAAGCGTACGGACGAATGAGCTATTTTAATAAAAGTGCTATCGGTTTTGAGTCAGAGGAAATGTGAACTTTTCCACCTAAAACAATTGTGATTATTTTATATAATTTTATGTGGGTGACTGCAACAGCAGCAGAACTAGGTAATTGCACATGTGCGCTCTCGTGGGGGAATCCCTTTACGTAAGAACTGCACGTAAGGTCCCCTTATCACAGATGCGTAAAAAAAAAAAAACTGTATAGACCGTAGTTATTCAAAGTAAACAACTACCTACAAACATGTCTGACAATGAAATACTCGCGAGTGACGAAGAAAACCACTGGAGGGACACCAATGTTTATAATCTGTAATAAAACAAATTATGGCCATGGGGCTAAATATAACGCATAGGATAACAGATTTATACATGTACCTATATTTTTTGCACTAAACTACTTCCATATATACTTCCATTAGTTGTTTTAACTTGTACCGGGCTACCTTCATGAGGCTTGTGGGCATCCTAGAGCAAAACAAGTGTCTAGGCCAAGCTGTTGGGACGCTACAGACAGAAGTTGGCAGATCGTGGGAGATGATGCTTGTGGGAGAACACTATCGTGTTCGTGAGAGTCTCATCTTTCCATTGTGGTCATATTAATTTGCAGGCCAAACCGTTCCAACGTTTTCGTAAGAAAGACTGATTTTCAGGGATGTCTTGTGGTCTGACAAACACCGCTGTAGCTCGGCCACCTTCCACCGCAGATGCAGAAGGCCGCCATTGGCGGATTTTTATTTATTTATTTAACCTTTATTTAACTAGGCAAGTAAGTTAAAAATAAATTCTTATTTACAATGACGTCTTACCAAAAGGCATCCTACGGGGGCTGGGATTAAAAAGAAAAATATAGGACAAAACACACATCACGACAAGAGACACCACAACACTACATAAAGAGAGAACTAAGACTAAGACAACAAATCAAATTGTATTTGTCACATGCGCCGAATACTTACAATAAAATGCTTACAAGCCCTTAACCAACAATGACGTTTTAAGAAAAAATAACCCAAAAAAGAAAAAAGGCACAAATAATTAAAGAGCAGTAAAATAACTAAAATAGCAATAGTAAAATAACAATAGTAAAATAACAATAGCGAGGCTATATACAGGGGGTACCGGCACAGAGTCAATGTCCGGGGGCACCGGTTAGTCGAGGTAATTGAGGTAATAAGTACATGTAGGTAGAGATATTAAAGTGACTATGCATAGATAATAAACAGAGAGTAGAAGACTGCAGTGATGTGTCCTATAAGGAGCATTGGTGGCAAATCTGATGGCCGAATGGTAAAGAACCTGCCAATCTATAAATGACATCTCCGTAATTTAGCATGGGTAGGATGGTCATCTGAATCAGGGTTAGTTTGGCAGCTGGGGTGAAAGAGGAGCGATTACGATAGAGGAAACCAAGTCTAGATTTAACCTTAGCCTGCAGCTTTGATATGTGCTGAGAGAAGGACCGTCTAGCCATACTCCCAAGTACTTGTATGAGGTGACTACCTCAAGCTCTAAACCTTCAGGAGGTAGTAATCACACCGGTGGGGAGAGGGGCATTCTTCTTACCAAACAACTTGACCGTTGTATTGGTGATGTTCAGAACAAGGTTAAGGGCAGAGAAAGCTTGTTGGACACTAAGAAAGCTTTGTGTCGGATGCAGTGGATTGAGAACCTTTTGAGGATCTGAGGACCCATGCATGGCAGCAACACATGACAACACAGCATGGTAGCAACACAACATGGCAGCAGCACAAAAACGCAAAAAAACAAAACACTATCTCTATCTTAAAGAGATGGATTTTGATGGGGAATTTTTGTATTATGCAAAGAACATTTTCACAGGGACACGGACATCGACTCTAGGGGGTTAAAGAGTATATGCATTGATTTTAATCTGACTCAATTTATCCTAAATGTGAAAAACCCTGTTAACTCCTCATTGATTTATACAATTCTTACTAATAACATCCATAAATATTTGTCTAGTGGAGTATTTGCATATGATCTCAGTGGTCATTGTCCCATTGTATGTATTAGAGATACCAAACGGCAAAATACTAATCCTCGTTTAATTAAAGAAGATGCATTTTAAAACGTTTTCTCAAGGGATTTTTTCATGACATGTTCTTACTCTGATTTAGCCACTGACCACGTTAACATGCACACCCATATCCCGTTTATTATTCGTGATACTCAAGTATTCTGTTTTTTGAGTTGACGCATATAAACATCATATCCCGTTTACAATAACCTGAAAAAGCTTCCATCACTGTTATGAGAAACCCAGATAAAATGCCTGGGATACGCTGATCTAAGACGGGATACTGTGGCATGTAAACATCTTATTCTGTTTACTGTAGTTATGTTCTGCGCAGGCTGTTTCACATATCATGGGTGTTGTGTGATGCTGTTTTCATCTGATTTTCAAACAAATCACTTCAAAAAAAAGTAGGTTACCTTCGCAGTTAGATCCACCATAATAATTCCCTAATAATTTAGCCTATCATAATTAATTTACTATAATTTACTACTGGCTACTTTCACCCCTAATTTAGACACGTTTCTGCTTATAATTTCCGACATTTGGTAGGCCATATTATAATTTCCGACATTTGGTAGGCCATATTATAATTTCCGACATTTGGTAGGCCATATTATAATTTCCGACATTTGGTAGGCCATATTATAATTTCTGACATTTGGTAGGCCATATTATAATTTCTGACATTTGGTAGGCCATATTATAATTTCCGACATTTGGTAGGCCATATTATAATTTCTGACATTTGGTAGGCCATATTATAATTTCCGATATTTGGTAGGCCATATTATAATTTCCGATATTTGGTAGGCCATATTATAATTTCTGACATTTGGTAGGCCATATTATAATTTCCGATATTTGGTAGGCCATATTATAATTTCTGATATTTGGTAGGCCATATTATAATTTCCGATATTTGGTAGGCCATATTATAATTTCCGATATTTGGTAGGCCATATTATAATTTCTGATATTTGGTAGGCCATATTATAATTTCCGATATTTGGTAGGCCATATTATAATTTCCGATATTTGGTAGGCCATATTATAATTTCTGACATTTGGTAGGCCATATTATAATTTCCGATATTTGGTAGGCCATGTTATAATTTCTGACATTTGGTAGGCCATTTGTTTGTCAACTATAGTTAGATACATGCAGCTTCTCTTCTGTCATAACTTGTTGCCCCAGAAGACTAAATAAACTAGTGCTCAGCAGCATAATGTCTTACATTGATAGAATGAATGCATTAGTAATCTAGTCAACACCGGTAAAGTTGTCTGTTTTGTTTAGGGACCGGGGAGGAAACGCAATAACTCCAAAACAGAGGAAAGATTGGTCCTGTGCAAAATGTCCAAAATGTCATCCGTTTCACCAGTTTTAAGGAAATGATAAGCTGAGAAAACAATGAAACACTTCAGTTACTATTCCATTTAAACCATATACTTAAATGAGAATATTCTGTTTAATCAAGGTTAAGTGGTAATATTAGCCATAGTGAGGAAAACAGACTCTGTAGCGGACTGCCAATCTTTCAGACAACTGAGAAACAGATTTACTATCTCGATTTAAGAAAGTTAAATCAAGCTACTTTTTAAGCTCTGACTCTGCTGGTGATCCTTGTAAATGTTGGAAAACAGTAAATGCACTGAAGCCTACAAATTCCTCTTCTTCCCTGCCTATGCAAGTTCTGTCTGACTGACATCATAACAGGAGAATAAGGAGGATAAGGGATGCTTTTAATCATCATTTTATCTCGGCAGGCTTTTTATTTGAGAGAAACGGTGGTTTAATCGACCCTGGTCAGTCAATCGACTGCTCTTCCCTCTGCCAGCCTATAGCTGACTCGATGGTTAACCTGTCAATGTAAAAATTTGTTTTAGTCATTTAGCAGACGCTCTTATCCAGAGCCAGTATGAAAATGAGTGCATGCATTTTCATACTGGCCCCCCGTGGGAAACGAACCCACAACCCTGGCGTTGCAAACGCCATGCTCTACCAACTGAGCTACAGGGGACTATTTCTAGTGAATCTTTGTTTTTATTTCAACAATTTACTCCCTGTGATGTGCTAGATGCTCACTGGGGCTGATATGCTTCATCCATTTTTGCTGCAGTTCTCTAACCCCCTGATTGCTGAATCATTAACCCATATTTTTAACCTGACGATTATATCTGGTACCTAAGGTTTGGAAAGCGGCCCATGTACTCCCCCTTCACCAAGGTGATGACCCTTATGACCTAAATAATTTCTAGCCTAGCTAAAATATTAGAATCCTTGATTAATTTCTTATCTTTGAAATCTATTCTAAATGTACAGTACCAGTCAAAAGTTTGGACACAACTACTCATTCCTGGGTTTTTCTTTATTTTTACTATTTTCTATATTGTAGAATAATAGTGAAGACATCAAAACTATGAAATAACACATATGGAATCATGTAGTAACCAAAAAGTGTTAAACAAATCCAAATATATTTTATATTTGAGATTCTTCAAAGTAGCCACCCTTTGCCTTGATAACAGCTTTGCACACTGTTGGCATTCTCTCAACCAGCTTCATGAGGTAGTCACCTGGAATGCATTTCAATTAACAGGTGTGCCTTGTAAAAAGTTAATTTGTGGAATTTATTTCCTTCTTAATGCGTTTGAGCCAATCAGTTGTGTTGTGACAAGGTAGGGGGGTATACAGAATATAGCCATATTTGGTAAAAGACGAAGTCCATATTATGGCAAGAACAGCTCAAATAAGTAAAGAGAAACGACAGTCCATCATTACTTTAAGACATGAAGGTCAGTCAATCTGGAAAATGTCAAGAAATTTGAAAAGTTTGTTCAAGTGCAGTCGCAAAAACCATCAAGCGCTATGATGAAACTGGCTCTCATGAGGACCGCCACAGGAAAGGAAGACCCAGAGTTACCAGCCTCAGAAATTGCCCAAATAAATGCTTCACAGAGTTCAAGTAACAGACACATCTCAACATCAACTGTTCAGAGGAGACTGTGTGAATCAGGCCTTCATGGTCGAATTGCTGCAAAGAAACCACTACTAAAGGACACCATAAGAAGAAGAGACTTGCTTGGGCCAAGAAACACGAGCAATGGACATTAGACCGGTGGAAATCTGTCCATTAGTCTGATGAGTCCAAATGTGAGATTTTTGGTTCCAACCGCTGTGTCTTTGTGAGACGCAGAGTAGGTGAACAGATGATCTCCGCATGTGTGGTTCCCACTGTGAAGCATGGAGAAGGAGGTGTGATGGTGTGGGGGTGCTTTGCTGGTGACACTGTCTGTGATTTACTTAAGGCACACTTAACCAGCATGGCTACCACAGCATTCTGCAGCGATACGCCATCCCATCTGGTTTGCGCTTAGTGGGACTATAATTTGTTTTTCAACAGGACAATGACCCAAAACACCTCCAGGCTGTGTAAGGGCTATTTGACCAAGAAGGAGAGTGATGGAGTGCTGCATCAGATTACCTGGCCTCCACAATCACCCGACCTCAACCCAATTGAGATGGTTTGGGATGAGTTGGACCGCAGAGTGAAGGAAAAGCAGCCAACAAGTGCTCAGCATATGTGGGAACTCCTTCAATACTGTTGGAAAAGCATTCCTCATGAAGCTGGTTGAGAGAATGCCAAGACTGTGCAAAGCTGTCATCAAGCCAAAAGGTGGCTCACTTTGAAGAATCTAAAATATAAAATATATTTTGTTTTGTTTATCACTTTTTTTGGTTACTACATGATTCCATATGTGTTATTTAATAGTTTTGATGTCTTCACTATTATTCTACAATGTAGAAAATAGCAAAAATAAAGAAAAACCCTTGAATGTGTAGGTGTGTCCAGACTTTTGACTGGTACTGTACATCATTCGGGTTTAAGACTTTTAGCATTACCTCTGCTGCATCCCTAGTTATAAATGATGTGGTTAACTGTATGGATAAAAGGCAACATTGTGCTGCCCTCTAAAATGTGCCGTTTTGCCACAACACAATGCCACAGGAATGTCCACCAGAGCTGTTGCCAGAGAATTGAATGTTGTTTTAGAAAATTTGGCAGTACGTCCATCCGGCCTCACAATCGCAGACCACGTGTATGGCGTTGTGTGGGAGAGCGGTTTGCTGATGTCAACGTTGTGAACGGAGTGCCCCATGGTGGCAGTGGGGTTATGGTACGGGCAGGCATAAGCTACGGACAACGAACACAATGGCATTTTATCGACGGCAATTTGAATGCACAGAGATACCGTGACGAGATCCTGAGGCCCATTGTTGAGCCATTCATCCACCGCCATCACCTCATGTTTCAGCACGATAATAAAGGGCCTCATGTCGCAAGGATCTGTACACAATTCCTGGAAGCTGAAAATGTCTCAGTTCTTCCATGGCCTGCATACTCATTGAGCATGTTTGGGATGTTCTGGATCGACGTGTATGACAGCGTGTAATGGTTGGAAACCACACGTTTGACTCAGTTCCATTTATTCCATTCCAGCCATTACAATGAGCCCGTCCTCCTATAGCTCCTCCCACCAGCCTCCACTGGTCACAGAGTTTGCCCCACGAGAGCGCACATGCACAGTTGTTACCGATCTCCGCTGTTGTTGCAGTCGGACACATAAAATAATCGCAATCGTTTTAGGTGGGAAAGTACACATTCCCTGACTCAAAACCGATAGCAATTTTGATAAAAATAGCTGATTTTGGCAGTACGCTTTCAATAAATAAAATAATCTGTCCACAATTCGCAGATTACACAATTGCTCTTTGACTGACAACAGAGCAGAGTTAGCAGTACAGAAAGACACGTCACGGGTCACTTGACCCTTTTAGCAGCTTTCCAGTTCTAGACTGCAGGGAGAGAGAGGGGGAGAAGGCAAACTCCACCTAACTAGTTTCAATGTATGGAATCACTTGGGAAATTGGGGATTTTAGGTCAACTTCCACTTTAACCTCATACATTCTGATAGGTGCTGTAATTTAATTGGGGAGATGCCTTTGTGTTAATTGGTGTTTTATCACACCTGAATCTAAATAATCAATGTATTTTTATTTTTTTACTTTTCTGATTCTAATCCCAAATCTGTTCATATATTCCCACAGGCGAGAGCTCCAACTCCGGCTCACTCAGCGAGCCCAGTTCCACATCACCAGGAAACCAAGAACAACACAGAGAGAGGAACTCAAGACGGAAACATCACCATTGCATGGACTGCTTCACTAGTTTCTATGAGCCAGAGGAGTTGAGAAGGCACACTTGTAAGGCGTGCAGCCATGGTGTGACTTGTCCTCCCAAACGGAAAAAGACTTCCAGCTCCTTCTCACCAATCCTCCCACCAATCCTCCCACCAATCCTCCCACAATTAGCTTTCATCATCGTGTCAGCTAATGGGGATCCTAGTAAACATAAAGATACATGTGATGAGAGCTTGAACCAGGCCAGAAACCCAACAGCAATCAGTAACCATGTGGACTTTCTCCTTGCTAACCGTTACACTTTGTCGCAGAAGGAGAAACTCCAGATAAAGCGTCTCGGTCCCCACCAGCCACCCGATGTAGAAATAACAGCACTTCCCAAACACCGGAGAAAGGGAAAGGACACGAACCGTGCGTTCAACCCCTCGTGGTTCGATAAGAAACCGTGGCTGACGTCCAGCGTCTCCAAAAAAGCGCTTTACTGCTTCCCTTGCCTTTTATTCGGCAAGGAGGGCGCTTGGTCAACGGTGGGTTTCAAGGACCTGAAGCACCTCTCCGAAAGGATTTTCAAACACGAGAGTTGTAGTGCTCATCTGGAAAGCAGCATGAAACTGGGACTTCTAGGGAAGACTAACACCGCTGGTCAGCTGGTCAGCGTAAACCCAAGCTCCATGGAGATACACAACAGGCAGACAGAGGACAACAGGTACGTGCTGGGTAGAATGATCAAATGCTACACACTGTGTGGGAGACACATGGCTGCGACGTGGCGGAGCGGCCGGGTTGAGTCGGACTCCCTGAACACATCCATGTTTAAGTGCATCTTTGAGACGATGTGCGAGGGAGACTCGAGGCTCCAGAGGCATTACGACGCTCACGGCTTCTTTAAGCACCCAAGAGGTTATGTACAAAACACACTGTTTAACTGTATGCACGATGTGTACAGAGAGGCGATTGCCAAGGAGGTGTGGGCTTCTAGCTTCGTAGCGGTGCAGGTGGACGGCACGCCGTGGACAGGGGAGGTCTCCTCCAGGTTGACCTTACCCCTAGGTACAGATCTAGGATCAGCGTCCCCTCCCCCAATCCCGACCTTAACCATTAGTGGGGAAAATGCCAAACTGGCCGAAGATCAGCGTCTAGGGGCAACAAACTACTCCTGTACGCCACGACGGGTCTCTGTCGTGCTACGGTACATGCTTCCAGACAATACCGTCACCGAGAGGTTTTGGGAGTTTGTGGACCTGAAGGATAGAACGGCCGCCGGTCTCACCGACGCAGTCAAGGACTCGCTGGAGCCACTGAAACTGGAGCACAAGCTGATTGCTCAGACGTACGACGGGGTCGCGGCGGCAGCAGTGGACGGGGCTGACGTGCGCGACTTGGAAACTCACCTGAAACACACCTATCCCAATGCTAACTTTGTGCACTGCTACGCTCACCCGCTCCGTGTCACACTCCAGCAGATCTGCTCGGCGACAGCGACCCAACTCAAAGTGTTTTTTGCGGATTTGTCTTCGTTCGAGACCTTCTTCAAGGATTGCCCTAAGAGAGCTATGGCCGCAGGGTGGAATTGTGAGCGGGAAACGGTCAGTGTGGTTTGGGAGAATCGCGTTGCTCTTCAGAAGTGTGTGGAGGATATTAGAACACAGCCGGTGTGGGACCAGGACTCTATCAGAGAGGCTTACGGCCTGTCAGCCAAACTCAGGGACACCACATTCCTACAACTGCTGGAATTATTCTATTTGGTCATGCAAGAGGTGGATGTTCTCACTGTCAACATACACAAAAGGGACATTGTCGCGGCGGACATCGAACAGGCAGTCGATCGTTTCAAGAAGTACGTTCAAGACCAACAGGGGAGAGCTGAGGCCCTGGCCACAGCACACGTAGTAGGCCCCGCCTCTGACAACGACAAGAGAGAGACAAAGACGACTGCAGCGGTCATGAGGAAGGCATGTGACATCGTCATCACACATGTGCGTCACAGGTTTTCTCAAAGTAGTGACCATTTAATCGCAGCCAAACTGGTGAATCCCACGCTCTTCTCTAAGTTCGTCGGTTTAGATTGTTTCCCGTGCTCAGCCCTACAGTGTGCTGCCAAGCTATGGCCGGTGGGTAACACTGGGAAGCTGAAAAGTGAATTGACCTCCCTGTACCGACACACGGAGCTCCACAGTGGTACAACAGCGCTGTCTTTATTGAAAACAATCAGCGAGCACAACCTCCAGGATGTTTTGTCAGAGACGGTCTCTCTTCTCAAAATCGTCATCACCACTCCCATGCAGACCTCCGAGTCTGATAGAAGGTTCCCCACTCTGAAAAGAATCCAGGCGTTGCCGTGTTCTCGGAACGCCTCAGGATCCGCGGTCGCTTGGCAACAGAACAACGGCAGACTGAATGCACTGTCCGTGCTCTCTGTTGAGAAGGACTTCATTCAAGGACTTGGGTCAGACTTTCACGACAAGGTCGTCGATAGGTTTGTCCAAAATGAAACCTGCCCTGGAGCCTTCCTGTTTAAATGAGCAGTACTGCATCTGAGAAGGCTGGGGCTGTGTCCCAAATGTAAAACCGTAGCATATTCTATATAGGCCTTGAGCTGAATACTTGGGCTGAGTGTCCCAAATGGCACCCTATTCCCTCTGTAGGGCACTACTTTAGACCTTGAGCCCTATGGAGTATTCTATTGAATACAAAGTAAGTCCATAGACTCAGTATGAAAGAATTCAGTTATAAATATTTATAAAGTTAACACAATACAGTTATAAAGTCCATAGAATCAGTATGACAGAATTCAGGAGTGAATATTTTTTTTATACATAATTCAACTCCGTAGAAGGGCTGGTTTGTATTGTCATTAGAGGTCTTCACGGGTCCAAAAAGTTGGACCCCGGACCCGAGGACAACGAGTCTGGGTCTAGACCGCTCCGAGTTACCAAACAATAATGTTTATCAGCCAAGTTGCTCTTCTGGGTAACTAATAGGTCTTTATGTATTTTTGTTCAGTGTATGGTGGCTAGGCCTTCTATAAATCAATCGTTTCACCTTATTAGCGTAAAATAAATATGCTATAGGCTATGCAGAGCCGTGGTCGGGTCCATTCGGGTCTATCAGCTGTAGTTACATAGACCTGAGATCCAATGACAATCAAATAGGACCCACCCTGACCCGGGGGACAAGTTAGAATTTCAGACCCGAACGGGCCCGGATCTCGGGTATATTTGGTCCACCCGGACCGTGAAGACCTCTAACTGACATCCAAAGTTAACAATATGAGTGTATTGTTATGTCATGATCTGCTTGTAAACGTGTAAAATAGTGTCAACTATCCTTAATCTGAATTATAAATACAAACAGTTCAAACTGTCTGTGTAACGCCTCTTCTTCATTGAAAGTGTATTATGTTGGTAGATTGTCTTTATCGATGACAAGTCAGTATAGTAGCATGGTGATAAATGATAAGGATAACAGATGTTATACACTGCACTGTTGGAATAATATAACATCACACTGCAGATAGAAATAGACTGTAATGACAGCTGTCTTGTGTTGGTTGAAAAATCTACACTGAACAAAAGTATAAACGCAACATGTAAAGTTTGGTCCCATGTTTCATGAGCTGAAATAAAAGATCCCAGAAATTTTCCAATACGCACAAAAAGCTTATTTCTCTAAAATGTTGTGCACAAATTTGTTTACATCCCTGTTAGTGAGCATTTCTCCTTTGCCAAGATAATCCATCCACCTGACAGGTGTGTCATATCAATAAGCTGATGTGGTCCTCTGTAGCTCAATTGGTAGTGCATGGCGCTTGTAACACCAGGGTAGTGGGTTCGATCCCCGGGACCACACATACGTAAAAATGTATGCACACATGACTAAGTCGCTTTGGATAAAAGCGTCTGCTAAATGGCATATTATATTATATTATATTAAACAGCATGATCATTACACAGGTGCAGCTTGTGCTGGGGACAATAAAAGGCCAGTCTAAAATGTGTCATTTTGTCACACAACACAATGCCACAGATGTCTAAAATGTTGAGGGATCGTGCAATTGGCATGCTGACAGCAGGAATGTCCACCAGAGCTGTTGCCAGAGAATTAAATGTTAATTTCTCTACCAATGTCATTTTTGAGAATTTGGCAGTATGTCCAACCGGCCTCATAACCGCAGACCACGTGTATGGCATTGGGTGGGCGAGCGGTTTGCTGATGTCAACGTTGTGAACAGAGTGCCCCATGGTGACGGTGGGGTTATAGTATGGGCAGGCATAAGCTACAGACAACGATCACAATTGCATTTTATCGATGGCAATTTGAATGCTCAGAGATACCGTGATGAGATCCTGAGGCCCATTTATTTTAAGGTATCTGTGACCAACAGATGCATATCTGTATTCCCAGTCATGTGAAATCCATCGATTAGGGCCTAATGAGTATATTTTAATTGACTGATTTCCTCATAAGAACTGTAACTCAGTAAAATCGTTGAAGTTGTTGCATGTTGCGTTTATATTTTTGTTCAGTATATTTGCATTTGTTTTGCCTGACTTCTTTCCGGTGAGCGGTGGTAGCAGAGCGATCTGACTCTGAGCTCGGAGAGAAGTGAAGGAGAGGCTGAAAGCTGTGGCTAGCGATCAATCGTTGATAAACAAACAATCAAACTTTACTCGGTGTGGCGGCGGTTCGGCCAGTATGGAGCATAGTGGTACAAATAAAGGAGGGAGTAGGAAAGAGAAGCCAGTATGGAGCATAGTGGTACAAATAAAGGAGGGAGTAGGAAAGAGAAGCCAGTATGGAGCATAGTGGTACAAATAAAGGAGGGAGCAAGAAAGAGAAGCCAGTATGGAGCATAGTGGTACAAATAAAGGAGGGAGCAAGAAAGAGAAGCCAGTATGGAGCATAGTGGTACAAATAAAGGAGGGAGTAGGAAAAAGAGAGCGGGAGAGAGAGGGAGGGGGGGTTTGAAGGGGAGAGAGAGAGAGGGGGGAGGGGTTTGAAGGGGAGAGAGAGAGAGAGAGAGAGAGAGAGAGAGAGAGAGGGAGGATGGGTTTGAAGGGGAGAGAGGGAGGAGGGGACTGATGAGGCACTGGATAAGGTATTGATGTTGTACAACAGAGTGTGGGCAGTAGTGGTACCAATCCGGAAGCCAGGGAAGGACCCAACGAGGCCAACAAGCTATCAGCCAACAGCTTTAATATCACATGTATGTAAGATTATGGAACGTATGATTACGGAGAGGGTAACTTACTTCCTGTAGAGCAGGGGGCTAGTATCGCCACATCAGAGTGGATTCAGGAAGGGTAGGAGAACTATGGATCCAGTGCTCTGCTTAGAAGCAGAGGTCAGGAATGCTCAGGTGAACAAGGAGACCGTTGTAGCTGTCTTTTTTGATGTGGAGAAGGTGTATGATATGATGTGGAAGGAGGGGTTGTTAATCAAGCTTGATATTATGGGGGTAGGAGGAAGAACGTACAACTGAATAAAGGATTTCCTGTTTGGAAGGTCTATCCAGGTGAGGGTGGACAATGGTACACCACAGGGGAGTGTGATTAGTCCTCTGTTGTTCTCAATCATTATCAATGATGTTACTCTCAGGTACAGCCGGATATTGGGAGGTCGTTATTTGCAGAAAATGGGGCCTTCTGGAAGAGGGGAAGAAATGTGCCATACATAGTCAGGAAGGTACAGGAAGCAATTGATGAGGTAGAGCAGTAGGCATTCATGTGGGGATTCAGGTTCTCTGTAGAGAAAACTCAGACAGTGTTCTTTACCAGGAGGAAGGTGGGAGATGAGGTATGGTTGAGGTTATACGGGAAAAACTTGGAGAGGGTGGGGGCCTTCAGGTTCCTTGGGGTATACTTTGACACTAGACTGACCTGGGCAGAACACATTGAGAGAGTGGTGGGAAAGTGTAAGATGGGGCTAAATGTAATGTGCTGTCTGACGGGGAAGGAGTGGGGGGCTGGGCGTTCCTCATTGAGGACCATGAATGTTGCATTGATCCGATCTGTAATAGACCATGGCAGTATAGCGTATGGTTCGGCAGCCCTCATTGGAAAAGCTAGATGTCATACAGGGGCAAGGACTGTAGTGGGGGGGGGACGTCCCCAGTGGCTGCACTACAGGTGGAGATGGGCGATATGCCATTGCAGATTAGGAGACGGCAGCTGTCAATGAATTATTGGGTCAACCTACAGGGACATGGGGTGTCTCATCCTGCGAAAGGGATTTTGCAGGCATGCTGGGAACATGAGCGAAGACAGAATGCGAGCTTTGGGTGGGTGGGTAATACCCAGGCGAAGGTGATGGGACTGTATGGAAGGGAGTTTAGTCCAACGGTAGTTATTCCTGTAAATCCACCATGGCTACTCCCGCCTCCAGTAGTTGATCTAGAAGTGTTGGAGAGACTCCAGAAAGATAGGGAGGGTGTTGATCCAGCTGATTTCTTTAAGAGACATCTGGAAACTGTGTATCAGGATTTTGTGGTCATTTACACAGATGGTTCAAAAGATCCAAGGACAGGACGTACTGGGTCAGCATTTGTAGTGCAGGAATGTAGGGGTGGAAGTCAGGAAACGTGTTACAGATCATCTGGCTGTATATACGGCGGAGCTGATGGCCGTACTGTTGGCCTTGCAGTGGGTGGAGGAAGTCAAACAAGACAGAGTAGTTATTTGCTCTGATTCATGTGCAGTGTTAATGAGTCTCCAGTCCTTTAGCTCACGTAGCAGACAAGACCTGCTTTAGGAGGTGCTACAAACCCATGGCATGATTAAACAGATTGCTATTCAGATAAGATTTACTTGGGTCCCAGCCCATGTGGGGGTGGAGGGGAATGAGGCAGTAGATGTACTGGCTAAACAAGCACTTAGTAGTGGGGATGTTGACGTTGAAGTTTCAATGAGCAAGGCAGAGACAAAAAGACTGATATATACAGTGATGGTGCAGAGATGGCAGGAGCAGTGGAATAGAGATAATAAGGGAAGGCATTTATTTCAAGTACAGAGAAAAGTCGGGGAGGGCGGCAAGAAGGAACAGAAGAGAAGAGGCTATTTTTTTACAAGATTAAGGGTGAATAAGACATTAAATGTGATAGGAGAGCATCCATCAGGAAAGTGTGATTATTGTCAGGAAATAGAGAAAGTGGAGCATGTATTGCTACAGTGTTGGCAGTATCAGAGGGAGGCTGAGATCTAGTATAAGGAAGAAGAGGATACAGAAAATTAGTTTAAAGAGTATATTGAGTAGAACGTCATTAGATATAGTCTCAAATATTTTGTTATCTTTTTAAAGAGAAACGGGGTTGGCAGGTAGGATACACCCATGGGGCAGTGCACAATTGGCCCAGCGTCGTCCAGGGTAGGGGAGGGAATGGCCGGCAGGGATGTAGCTCAGTTGGTAGAGCATGGCGTTTGCAATGCCAGGGTTGTGTGTTCGATTCCCACGGGGGGCCAGTATGAAAAATAAAAAAAATAATGTATGCACTCACTCTGGATAAGAGCGTCTGCTAAATGACTAA